GAGGGGGGAGGGAGGGGGTCAAGTTTGTAAAAAGCTGTCGATATTATGAAAGATCTTTCGGCAAAAGATAACACAAAAACGGTTTCAATACTTGTTTATCGAGACAGAAGTACAAGTTTCCTTGATATCATCATCTTTCTCACTTTTATTTCTTTACTCTTAAAATGACTAATGGTAAACCATCGAGGAATTGAACAAAATTGCTCAGGTTCACGTTTGACTCAGTATCAGGGTGAGAAATACTTGATTGTACAATAACAAAACCGATCTCTTTAAGACAAAGAACAAGAGAGTCGTATGCCTTTCAGACATTATCTAGTTTGAAACAGATCTAACTCTGAAAATAACTAGCACCAAGATTCCGACCGGAAAAGGCCCCTTCACACTGACTGCAATTATACTGAGGAGCAAATATGGCGAAATTATGTATTCAGAAGAATACTAAGATCATCTTTGTATTTGTGCGGGAAACCATGATGTTATGGATAAATATATCAAAACGTGTGAATTGGTGCATAAAGCATGTTTATCTTTTTCATTTAAACAAAGGAAATTGGATGTTACCTTCTTAAAAAATCTTCAACCCTTTACATTGAAAAAAATTTTCATCCATTTACGTTTTTAGAAAACTCTCGTTCCCAAAGCCCATCGCTAACAGAGCTACTTGGAGACACTTGTAATGGAATTAAAATGAAATTGATAATCGAGAAATAGCACTTCACCATCTCGAGGTATCGTGAATCCTCGAGAGCTCTTATGATCTAAAGAAAACACTGAAAGCTGATCGGCTGAATAGTTTTTCGTGTGTGTATGAACTTTAGTCCCTACTAAACTTGCCAACTACAGCTATGGCAGAAAGGCACTGTCACCTTTTAAATTTGCCTCTCGCAGAGAGCGTCTTCGAAAAGAGGTTATCCTAATCATTTTTTTTTTTACTTAACAATTGGTTCATACAACAGCGTGCGTTCATCGAGATATGAAGCACGCAGGAAGTTTGGAGAGCACGAAAGATGCGTAAGAGTTGCTCGAGGCGTAGCCGAGAGCAACTCTAGCTTCTTGAGTGCTCTCCAAACTTCCCAAGTTAATCAATACGATGGAAAATTTTTTTTTTCTCGAGGGATTTGTTTGCTGACGTCATGAGCGTACACAATAGGAATATGAAGCACGCTCGCGCAATTGAATTTGATTACACAAATGTACTGGCTATGTTATAATGTAAATTTTTTCAGTCTCTGAATTCTTCTGTGTTGTCTCCCGCTCCCGAATCTTTGGATTGATATTCTTCATCGCTGATAGCTTTGGAGATTGACAGGAGGACGCAAGCTTCTTTGTCTCCCGATCTCAACCTCAACAAAGGATTCTTGAACTATAAGGTAAAAAAAGGAAGTGAAAAAAATAGCAGACACATCGGTCTCGTCAGATTTCATTTCATTCTCTTTTTTTCTAAGGGAGATAATTCTATAATAGTGTAACCAAAAGAATATAAAAATATGAGAAAAAACAAAATGAATTGAGAAGAGAAGTTTATATGGATTACGAAAAGGCTCCAAGAATATCTATGAAATTAAATTATGTTAAGTGTAACGGTGTATGAATTCTTTGTAAGTACACAAGGTCGCCTCCCAGAGCTGAATATCCTGCATTTTATCTTTGATTTCCAAGATAAGTGATCGATTATTCGTGTTCATGTTGAAATCAATTTTCTTCCTACTTCTAGCATAGTTTGAGTTGTTTTGTCATGAAAAGATTGTCTTCGTGCTTCTTTTTCTGAGGAAAAGAAAACGAAAATTTTTTAGATTTTTTTCTTACATTCTCTGTCTGATGGTTATATTTTAATAACGACAATATCATACCTTCGTTCCACTCCCTTTTGGTGGGTCACCTTCTGAAAAATGTCTGGGTTTCTGCAAAATGAAAACAACACTGAATCTTAAAAGCTTATGATATTTAGTGACTGCCCTTTGTATTTCATAATGACTATCCTGTTGAGAGAAAGTTTCTTTGTTCAATGAAAACAAGTTAAAGGATTGCAAGGATTCTTCGGAGGTACAACACGCAACAGAAGCAATAGAGCAATTTAAACCGTATGTAAAACAACGATGAAAATGATTGTATCATGATACCTCTCATTTCCAGGCGTCCAGCCTCGGTAGTCAGCTTAATAAGAGCCTTAAACATACTCCGACAAATGTTGCGATGTTTCTCACATGACAGAAGCAATTGCTCCACGCTTTCATCATTTGGGGAATCTACTTCCTTCTCTTCATATGAGCTGCTTGATAGCTCTGCATGTATATCTACATCTCCACGAACCAATTACTCTTTCTTTATTTGGAGCCTCATGTCCTGAAGTTGTGCTTAAATATGTCGCTTTAGGCTTTCCTGCCTCACGCCAACAACAGTCTCTAAGGATATCCTCCTCACAGGTTTCTGTTAAAACAAATGAAGTACAAGTGGGTGAATCACTTAATCAGAGTGAATTTTTCCAAATGATTACCTCTAACGCGTGGTACGCGAAGAGTTGAACCGAGATTTTGTAGGGGTTCCAATATACAAACGAGTCACTCACTCGCGCACCGTTATAGTTAATTAGTCGTTCCGAGCTTGCCTTAGCCCGATGAAATAGTAACCGCGCATAAACGACAACGAGGCTTGTTACAGTTTATATTTAGCATCGTTGCTTTAAATGGCACTTTTCGATTGAACATAAAAATTCGGGTTCAGGTACAACCCCAACACTGTACATTGCTTCGATTGTTTACGATCTGATGTAAAACAAGAACTATGGTTAATTGGCTGATTGATCAAATTGAACAATTTTGTGTAGGCATTGGCGGCTGGATCAATCAGTAAGAACACTTTAGCTAAAGGAAAAAATCATGTGATTTTCTGGCAAAAGAAAACACGTGGAATTTACTGTTGTTTATCCATAAACAGGTTGTTGTCTAATGCAAGCGGGAGAATCATGCCACATGAACATCGCGTTACAATGGGTCGCAGCGTCTGAATTGAACGAATTTTTCGAATATAAATTTTAAGAGGAATTTATTTTGTACTGTTATACCCTAATTGACTATTCAGCGAAGTTTGATAGTTAGCATCATTCTGGATCTGTCCGTGACTTTCCGTAAGCTTTCCAGCCGAAAAAACCTCGACCTTGTCAGTCGACTCTTATCTTTACAACGCAAGTTTTAATAAAATTATTGATATTGGCACATTTTAAGTCAAAGAAGATTTTGAGTCTCTGAGAATATATGGTTTTTTATGTCATAAACATAGCCATTAACCACAGCTCCTTGAAATGCCTTATGTTCGGCAAATGAGCAAAAGATTCTACACTAATATCACTCATCCGATGTCTCCTGAGGATAATGGAAAAGATTGAAACGCTTTTGGTTGTAATGGTGGTGAGCGAGTTTCTGACTTGTATGTTCCTTGAAACAGGCACAAAAGTCCATAAACCAGAGAAAAAATGGCACAGAGAAAGAGGCTTCTGGTTCGGTCCTCGGATAAATGGGAAAAGTGGAGAAATTACCTCTTCCAATTTCAAAATTTTTCACTGCAATTGATTGCCTTTACCATTTATAATTTTTATGCCTTGCAGGAATGTAATCTCTTACCTATGCAACCAAGCAGCCTATTTTCAATTTCCAATGATTACACGTACACACAATCAGAATAATAGGGTAGCTGGATAATCTATTGAGCTCTGTTACGATTGAGTTTCGTAAAACAAAAGGAAATAGCACAAGAATCCGATGGAATCTCAAGATAAAAAACAAGCTACTTCAAGCGCGGGAAAAGGTAAGTGTTCAAGTCGCGATTGGTTTTACTATTTAGTTTGATTGGTCGAGAATTTGAGTGCGAGTTTCCCCGGACAATCAAAGGGCAAATTTGAGCAAGAGCAACTCATGCCAGGATTGCTCACACTCAGTTGACAACTGCTCTATGAAGAATTGCAAAATAGTAAGCACGTTCTTATTTATCGGTAGGTGCACGTGTTAATATAAGAGTAAGTAAAAGCAAGTAAACACGATTGTGACATGGTAGATCTGCTTGTGTTATGGAGAGATATATCCATGGACGAGGGTATTGGGAGAAATACCCCAATCCCCCTTTTGTTAGGATAAGACTTTAAAACCACGGAAAAATCCGTTATTGTGTAACAAGGTTACAGTGTTCATTGTTTTCTGTTACAGTGTTCATTGTTTTCTAGGACTTTGTCATGTAGCTATTTATCGTTATTTTTATTTTTTTTTTTTATTACATGAATTTGGCAATTGGGTAGCTTGTCAGTTGTATACGCATTTCAGTGCTCTTCTCAGACCACTCACTCATCTTACCAGGTATACCAACTTGCCAAGAAGCTTTTCTGCTATGCATTTTTTCCAAATTCTTAATAAAGCATCCGCTAGACACCCTGCCACTGCACTTCTCCCTTCTTTCTGTTTCCACATGAGAAGTAAAGCGTTTGCTTTGTCGCGATTACAGCGAAAATCTTCGTCCAGGTTTTGCGGGATCTTTGCTGCAGGGATATCAAGCTTTGGTCCCAGCTCACGCCAGCAAGTACCACGTCATCACTTATGCCTGAGAGCTGCAGTTCTGTCAACACAGAGGTCCTTGGGTCGATGACGTCTCCTTTGTGCTCAAAAATATATTAGATTTTTAGCATAAACTAATGTTTCAATTGTGTGTAGTTTTAACATTGGATTACACAAGGCATTGCTATGTACGTGGTTGAATCATTTACAACAGCAAAACAACAGCCAAATTTTACAGAAATCAATGATGATTTCAGCACATATTATAAAGCTCTCATTGGAGAATGAGATCGGATTAAGCAGGTGTAGAATAAATTACGAGGAAAGAACGTGAGAACATTAATACTAATCTGTTTCATGTAAACAATGTTAATTGCATATCACCCACTTTATAAATATCTAACCCTTCACTAAGAAAAAAAATTTGAATTCAATTATGTATTTAAAACATTCTCGTTCCAGAAGCCCATCAGTTTTCTCGGCCAGCAGCGCCTCAGCATCGTTTTAAGATAAATCGAAGGGCTATAGACGCGCACAAAATTATCCTTTTTTCTCGATTTGGTCAAGTTCAGAAAAATGAAATCTTATTATAACCAAGAAATCAAATCAACAACCAAAAACGGGAGCGGCGTAAAATACATGATAAAATCTTCATTGTATAAGCTAATATAGAGCGGTAGCTAACTTCTACATATAAAAATTAGCTAAGATCGCACCTGGAAAGATTAAACTCGTAATTTTTTTTCGTCTCCGAGCCGGCTCTCTCGATGTTATTCTGGTGATGGCGTAAACATCGACGACTAGTTTTTTTCTTTGAAAAATCAGACATTTGTTGGTTATTGAGGTGTTATAAATAGGTAACCTAAATCAGGTGAGAACACAACAATAATTTTTTGTTTTATCTCAACAGCACAAAAATTTTGAATTCATACGCACACATACGTACATAAACTTTATTCGAGTGAGAAGATGGTATTTAACTAATAAAGCTAATAAATTGTGCTGGAATCAAAATATATTTTATGTAATTATATTTGATAATCAAGAAAGAAAAGAAAAAAATCACCATTTAGTATACAAGAGTTCTATCCTGATGTATCGTGAATCCTCAAACCGTCCCATAATCTTACGAAAATACTAAAAGCTGATCACTCAAATAGTTTGCCGTATGCATTCGAATTTTTGTTCATCTTCAACTTGACAATTGTAACTTTGGCAGAGAGATAAATAAACCTTTATAACAAGGCGAACAAGAACTTTCTACCGTCGGTAATTGAGATTCATATTTTCTTACGTTATATTTTTCAAATAAACACATGGTCTGCTAAATATGACAATAAAATTAGTGATAAACATAAAATGAGGTCGTTCGTGTGCTCCTTTCAATATCTTTGCAGAGGGCTTCGTTAAAAAGAGGTTATTTTGATCGATTTTTTCGTTGTAAACAATGTTAGTCTATGAGTTCTTTAGCTTTTGTGTCGTCTCATGCTTCCTAATTTGTCGGTGTCTTTGTTTCTTAAGCCATAGGACTTTTCTTTACTGTTCCTCCTGTTATTTCCTCAGTAAAACTTTACTTTCCCTCTGTAAACTGATCAAAGCTTCGATGTTCACCAGAAGGCCATTTTCGACAATATTTTCAGGCACATCTTGTCACAAGGGTTTTTAAAGTTTTTGGCTAATCGTGCTTTCTCGTTAACTTGAAAAACTGAAGCTACTTGGATACTTGTGGTGATATTGACAGAATTGACAGCATTCACCTTCAAGCCAGTAAATACGACATAGTGTAGCATAGCCTGAAAGGCAGGAGTCTCATTAGAGCGAGTTAACGTTAAGAAGTTCATCGTGTAATCGATCGTACCATGTTTGATTTGGAGAGTCGACGGCGGAGGAGGGGGCGGGATAAGGCAGAAGTATTCATAGCCCACCACTTCCCCTCTCCTTATTTTTACCATTCATTCACCCCCTTGGTACAAATTTTTTTCTCTCCCCGGCCTTGCGTTGCTGTAAAATAAACTACAGCAGCTAAAATTTTTACCAAGATAATACTGAGCACTTGCCCGCGAAAATTACGCCTGCTCTGCAGGTTAAGTATCGCACATTACTGCGGTTCATCCCTCGTGGATGTTAATCTGAAATTAACAAAACACCGAAATGCCACGTCTTGCCATGAAAAGAATAAAAAAAGCCAGTACTAAATATAACGATTGCGAGCTACCTAGACACGGGCCCAAACGCATTATTGCCAGTCAGCTTCAGTTATTCTGTGAGTGGTGGTCTATAAATTCTTCTCACAAAAGCTGTGCTGTAAGTTTTAAACTTGAGTTAAATATCATATATCAGAGTCGTATCAGATTCTTTTTTAAATCATTGTTGGTAAAAAAAGAATCGCTTTTAACTGAGGATTAAGTGGAAATAATGACACTAGAACAAATTATCAGAAAACCCATTTTTCTTTGGATATAAACCACCATGTCGCCAAAAGAGTATGAAGAAGGGGAGTACAGAAAACTCACCGGGTGGGATCAGGTGAATTTAATTGACCAAGAGACAAATGATGACCTTTAAATTATAGGACTTATCAACTCCAGCTGGTCAATTCTGTGAAAAATTGTACGACGACAACGCCATTGGAACATGTCCATGGCGCTGACAGTTAAAAGCTTGCTGGTCATTCTCTATTAACCGTTTTCTTAAAACACATCCCAGTAACTTTAAATTCGTACAAACTACTGGTCCTCAAAGGCTAGAGAATGGTCTAGTTGTGCCTAGGAAGTTTACGGAAAACACAGGATTTTCATCTTCCACCCCTCACACAAAGTAAAACAAAGTTTTAAAATTCATTAATGTGTTAGAACATTCTCATTCCTAGAGCCCGTCAGTCTTATCGGTCGGCAGCGCCTCAGCATCGATTTATAATGAATCGAAGAGCTCTAGACACACACAGAATTATCCTTTTTTTTTCAAATTGTTCAACTTCAGAAAAATGAAATCTTAAATAGGAAACAAATCAAAAACCGAAAAAAGGAAGTGGTGTAAAAGACATGATGAAATCTTCATTGTACAAGCTAATATTGTTTGTAGAGCGGCAGTTCACCTCTACATGTAAAAAACTTCAACTAGAAGTTGTGATTTGCATTTTTCTAGCCGTTTGTCATTTTTTTTTTTGTGAATATTTAATTATCTTAGCGCAACGTGCCAAAAACAGATCAGGTGACTAGTTATTTAAAAACCTAGAAGTTCGTTACGCAACTTACATTTCAAAAGTGTCACCACCGATCGCACATCGAAGCTTACTAGTCGCATATAGAACACAAATTGTAAGTATAATATTTGCCCGTCGCTTCAACCGAAATTGACATGTGTAATAACCTTCTTTGTAATATTAATTTAATTTTTAAGTTGACTACTTCTTCTTCTATTACGAGTGCAAAATAAATTCTATGTACGCGAAAATCAGTTAGTGATGAAATCTTCAAATTAAAGTCGCCCCTTCAATCACAGGAGCGAATCAAGTTGTTTTAGAACCAGATTTATGATGGTTACTGAGGTGTTGTAATACTATGTAATCGAAATCAGGAGAGAACACGAACAACATTTTTTTTTCATTTTAAGAGTACGAAAAAATTTGAATTTGCGCTCACACATACCTCTATGAACTCTGTTCAAGTGTGAAGATAGTAATTATAATAAAGCAAGTTTGAGAAACGCGTAATGGAATCAAAATGTAATTGATAACCAAGAAAGATAAGAAATAAAAATCACCATCTATACAAGAGTTCTATCTTCATGTATCGTGAATCCTCAAACACTCCCATAATTTAAAGGAAATACTGGAAGCTGATCAACAAAAGAGTGCTAACGAATTTTTTTTCATATTCAACTTGGCAACTATAATTTTGGCAAAAAAGCTAATTCACCTTTATAACAAGGCGAACAAGGACTTTCTACAGTCAGTTACTTTAGATTCTTATTTTCTTAAATTGTATCAGTTTGAAATAAAAATATTTTTTATTAAATATTTTCGCACAATCGAGTCACAATGAAATGCGTGATCAACAAAATGAAAGATGTTCGTGCGCTCCTTTCAATATCGAAAAGGGCTTCCTTAAACGAGGTTATTCTAAACAACTTTTTCATCGTAAACAATGTCAGGCCATTAATTTATTTGTGTTATCTCTTGCTCCCGAATCTATTGTTTGATGTTCTTCATCGTTGGATGGTTTTGAGATTGACAGGAGGACGCAAGCTTCTTTGTCTCCCGATCTCAGCCAAGACAAGGGATTCTTGAAACATGAGGAGAAAAAAAGTAAAAAAAAAGGATCAATATCAGTATCTGGGCAACTGCCCACCTACCCCTCCCCTAACCTGTTGTTGAGTTAGGGGAGGGGTAGGTGGGCAGTTTCCCAGACGCTGATATTAATCCAAAAAAAAAAAAAGTCAGTAGGTTTGTAAAAATTCATTATCAATCTTGTTTTGTGAGGGAGATAACTCTATTATAGTGCAATCAAGAAAAAAGAAAAGAACAAACACAATGAAGGAGACAATGTAATAATATTATTCTTATGTAAAAGTACAACTGTGTATGAGATAATTTTTAATTATAATAATAAGTACGTAGGGTCGTCTCCCAAAGCCGTCGATGTCTTGCATACCGTCTTCGATGTCTAAAATGAATAACCAATTGCTCGTGTTCATGTTAAAATCAATTTTCTTTCCAATACTGGCCAAGTTTGCGTTTTGGGTCATAGAAAAGTTCTGTTCAAGCTTCTCTTCTTGAGGAGACAGCCCAAACGTTTTTTTTCTAACGTTTTTAGTTTAATGGTGGTATTTGAATAAAGACTGCATCATACCTTCGTTTTAGTCTCTTTTGATAGGTCGCCTTCTGAATAATGTCTGGGACTCTGCAAAACAAAAATAAATTTAAATCTGAACATAGAAATTTAGCTACTGTCGACATAGACAAAATGACAACTTTAACCGATTGCATACAAAGATATATATAGCGCATTATAACTGCTCATATTGACCAAAAATATTGGCTTAGTCAATTACTTATATCTGCAGTTTGATTCAGTTAAGTGATCTGTGTTTTAATAAACTCAGATTTAATTCAAATTCCCTTACCTTCCTTCCGTATCCTGGCAGAGGTTTTGATCGGCCTTCTAGTTCAGTTTTCTGGTGAGAGGGCTTTGGAAAAAAGGAGGAACAAATATAAATATGAGAGAACATCACAAAGCGAAAAGTCAAGAAGGAGAGAAGATTTAAGGATCATTGATGATAAGATTCTGCCTGCTCTTTTGAGTTCAATAAAACAAAAACCAAAGGCAGAATTTTATTAGGAACTTGTAGACTGACATAAGACTTCAAACAATCATGGTCTACCAAGGCCCTCGCTTGGTCTGTCGCACAAAGTTTCATTTATCATGTTAATTGGACGTAAAAACCTGAGTTTCTCTCTCCCCTCTAAATCAATTGTTTTATAAAATTCCTCCACTGAGCTTTTGACAATCCAATTACAATTTGCATGTGATATTAAGTAATTAGTTATGTACATAGAAGAATATTGCGCTTCTGATTGGCTGAAAACGAGTGCATTTTGTGTAACACGAGTGCAAAGTAGTGACATGAGTGCAAATTAAAAATAGCGAGCGTTCGCTTTCAAAATTTTGTCTGTCTTGACTTTCTGTGATGTTTTATGATGTATATTATTAGCAAGTGCTAACATGATTTCAAGTGAAATGTGGTGTTAGTAAGTACGGGTAAATTTTTTAAAGACTACAAATTGCACTTGCCCTACGGGCTCGTGCAATTTTGCTGTCTTTGAAAAATTTACCCGTGCTTATTAACACCAAATTTCACTCGAAATCAAGTTCTTACCAATACTAAAGTGAAAAAATGTTACTTTATTAGAAATTACCAGCCTCCTTTTATAATTCGTCTTTCTCTCAGTTGTCATTTGATGAAGCAGTCCTAACAGCAGTTTTTCAACTTCCTTCAATTGCAACTCATGATGCGTTTTCCATTTGTGTAATTCCTCAAAACGATTTGTGTGCTGCTCGTCCTTGAGTTGGCTCTGAGTACCTACTGATTCTATTTTGGAGAAAAGTGCTGTTTCTTCTTGCTGGAGTTCCGTAGTAAAGTCTAAAAGTTTTTTAATACAATTAACATTATCTTCACTTTGTTGCCCAACCTGAGCAGTCAGCTTGATAAGAGCTTCAAACATATTCTGAAAATAGTTGCGATGTTCTTCACATGACTCTAGCAATTTTCCCACGCTTTCATCGTTTGACGGATCCGCTTCCTCATTCAATAAGCTGCTTGTGGGCTCTGTTTTGTCTTTAGAGGCATCTTGAATCCCATCTGTTTTATCAACATTTCCACAAGCCAGTTGCCCTTTATTCATTTGGAGTCTCAGGTCCTGAAGCTCCGATGAAATATAGCGCTTTAGACTTTCCTGTCTGGCTAAAAAAACAGTTTCTAAAAATCCCTTGCTTACAAGCGTCTGTTAAAGCAAATGAAAGACAAATGGGGCAATTAAAAATGACATAATTTTCGAGGATAAACCTTGAATCACAGGGTGCATTTTTCCAAATACTCATTGAAACATTCTAATTGGATAGATGGGATAAGTGAAGAAGTTACCTCTTCCAATTTCAAAAAATTGTCACTGCTGTTGAATTCTTTAACCATGAATTTATTTCCCTGTGCATCTTCGCACACCATAAGCTAAAAAAAATGACAAATAGTTGATTGTAAACAATTTTGAAGCAATTTCATTATTTTACTTGAGATTATTTGGTGGTAAAACTATGCCCAGAGAATGGCAAAATCCATCTAAGTGATTTTTCTGGTTTACCGCTGGTCCAGTTTCATCCTTTTGTTCACGAGGTCTGGGGCAGACGTGCTAATCATCAACTTTTCAGTAGTTATTGTAGAAAGCGTGTTGTCAACTACTTACCTTATTAAGCCCTTCACCCAGGTCATGAATAACTGTTAAACTAATGACGTGACCCTTAGGAATGTTTCCACACCTCATCACTTTCGCATAATCCACTCCTAGTGTGTTGATAGGAAATTATTATGAGTTCAGAGTTCTGCGTCGAACAGTTTAATGCTTCATGTTCCCCACCAGGACAACCTCCCTGCCACCCATGGAACAAACTATACCAGCAAACTAAATGTCACCATTTAGGATATTTGCAGCGAAGGAAAGATTTTTATTCCTCGCAGGAAAGCAATTTCTTAACTAAGCAACCCTTATAAGTGCAGACAATCCGAATAATAAAATAGCTGGACAATTCACGGTTTTCGTAACACCGAACCCAAAGTTGTACTAAATGCCAACTAGGACAAAAGCAAATGTCACTGGTTGGGAGCCAATGAGAGCACAAAGCATAAAAAAGCAAAATATTTGAAGTGCGGGTCTACAAGTTACCTTTGATTCTAGTTTTGAATTTGATGATCACTTGAAAGAGTATTTGGTGCGAAGCAACGCAATCCAGGATCGCGTTTTACACCAAGTTGTCAATTGCTCTATTAAGAATTGACAAAATCCCTTAAACAGTGGGCGCGCTCTGATTGATCATTAGGTGTGTTGAGATAAGGAAGAGTAAAAGCGTTTTGATTCACGAGAGCAGCCTCCTCCTCAAGGGGGGGAGAGTATTGGGAGAACTATCCTAGTCCGCCTTTATGTTAAGACAAGAAAAGGAAACCACGGAAAGCTCCACGACTGCGTTATACGTTAAAAATGTCAACTGTTTTATGACTTCTTTGTGTGTTTATTCTTTCAGCTTGTCAGTTGTATACTAGACCATTCACTCATCTTACCAGGTATACCTACTCACCAAGAAGCTTTTCTGCTATGCATTTTTTCCCAATGCTTTCTAAAGCATCCGCTAAACGCCCTGCCACTGCACTGCTCCCTTCTTTCTGTTGCCACATGAGGAGTAAGGCGTTTGCTTTGTCGCGACTACAGCAGTAATCGTTATCCAGGTTTTGGATCTTTGCTGCAGGGATATCAAGCTTTGGTCCCAGCTCACGCCAGCAAGTACCTACGTCATCACTTACGTCTGAAATCTGCAGTTCTGTCACCACGGAGGTCCTTTGGCTGTTGAAGTCTTTTGCGTGCACAAAGGGATATTAGACTCTAAGCTAATTTAATGTTTTAATTGCGTGTAGTTTTTAACATTGCATGGATTACGAGAATCATCCTAGTTGAAATTTAGTGAGGTCTTCTTCTTGCCTTGGAGTAGAAAACGTACCTGGTGTTAACTGCACAATAACAACATAAAGGGGTTAGGCTTATGTTTAGTATGGTTAATTCTAAACAGCCAAACAGGTATATATAGGTTACTTGAGTGATGATGCATTAGGGCTTGGTTAGTAAATGATTCTCTGTATTCAAATTAATTGACAGTCATCTTTGCATCATTGAGTCACACCACGCTACCCAGTTTTCAACAATTTCTAAATTAATTTTACTAAGAAATAGCACTAAGTTATTCAGCCTTGAAGGAATCTAAATCTCGACCTTTATTCAGTCGAGTTCATTTTTTGGGGAGCTGATTTTTATTTCGGATACTTCTGGTTTACAGAAGCGTCATCAGTATTAGTAACATCAGATTTTCATTTCATATATCTTCAACCGTTATCTGAATATTGCTTAAACTCTTTCAAACGTCACGCATGTCTTTGGTTATATTTATAACAAGATCTTACAATTGTCATGGTCAACCACAGAAGCTTGACAAAAATACGCAGCAAAGATAATGGATATATGGCGCCGTCATTCGGCTAAAATTAATTATGATTTGACTCACTTTTTCTAAAATCCTGGATTCAAGCCAAAAATCATAGCGGAAAAAAGCCAAAAGTTTATTTGATGACGCTAACGGCATTAAGTGTACAGGCATAATTTCAGTTTCCTCTTTGTTGTTCGTCGAAAACATCATGCCTAAAGTCTCAAACATCAATCTGATACGTGATTATTTTATTGGAATTTCTGTTTTTCAGGTAATCAGAGTGTTCCTAGTTAACAAAAGTTTGGCTCCCATTTCATTCGCATTAAGATGGAATGAACAGATTACAAAATCTCCATAATATTATATGCGGTTTATTGTCAAACTTATATTTTTGATGCCATTGACGTCATAATCTACTCATCGAGATTCTGTCCTTTACAAATAAGGAACAGCAAATTGGTTAAAATTCTAACCACTGCTGCTTCCATCCTGATCTTCAAAAAAGGAGCAGCATGTAAACGGAGCCAATTCGACGTCTTACATGTCCATTCTTGCTCCGTTCCCTTTATCTTTCCCACGCTAAAATCATTATAGCGTAACATATCTTAACCTTATACATTGTAAATATCGCTCTGGATTATCAACGCTGAAATCAAGTCGGCAACAATCTCGCATACAAATTACACGAGGACAACTAAACGAACACCACGAGATATATAGAGCGATGAGGTAATTAAAATAGCGGTTATATGATAATTAAACAACGCAGATTAACCACTTTTAGATGACAAGCACCTGCAGCGAAGACTGCCAAAAATATTTGAAAGTTAAATTACTGTTACATGATCGATTAAGCTTTGCCTGTCCTGTAGAGAAAAACGTACAATTTCAGAACAAAAGGATGAGACTTAAAACTGAACACAAGTAATATTATGACAAGCTACCGAGACTGAACTAAACTAAATAGTCATATATTTACCACGTACATATAATATTTTGAAAGCTTACTTCTAATTTCAATACAATTCTCAGCTGCTCTTCCGCTTGTCGCAGGCAATGTTGGCGTTTCGGTAGCCATAGGACTTGCTTCCTAAATAAAACTTTACTTCCCTCTGTGAACTGATTACAGCTTCAATGTTTATCCGAGGACATAAATATTACTCAATTGTTTGACTATGTGTACCCTCTCGTTCACTTGGACGACTTTTCACTTAAAAAACACGGAAAAGCCACGTCTTGGGATGAAAAGGGAAAAATCACATTACTTAAATTAATATCGGTGCACCGAGGTCGTTCCGGATGGATGCAGGTCCAGACCCATGCAGTAAACTCACGAACATTCTGTCAGCTTGGATATTCTGTGAGCAGCAATATGTAAAATCTTGTCACAGAGGCCGTATGGTTCCTTTCAATATATGAGCAAAAATATCATCTATCGGTGTCGTACTAGATGTTTTTCTTTTTTTTTTTAGAATTTGGGTAAGAGGGTCCGCTTTTTAACTTGGGACTAAATGTAAATAATAAGAGTTAAGAAGTTATCGGAAAACCCACTTTTCCTTGGATACAAATCGGACTTAAGACACCACATTCTGTTATGAATAATGTAAAAGAAATTATCACATAAACTACGCTATTATTCAAGGATTTCTCGCCCTGTTAAAGCCGTAACAACACACGTGTAAAAATGTCTTATTTTTTCACGTGTTTGATATCGCCAATCAGCTCCCGTCACTCGCCTTTCGCGCCACTTAGTCAGGTTGATGAATGAATGGCATAGCCTTCACGATTCTCAATACAAGGTAGTTTGAGAGAATTTTTTCGGATTGTGGCTGCCAAAACACTGAAAAATCCTCATCGCTTACAAACAGTAACTTTCAAACTTGCCTAGAAAGGGAAGAAAACCAAAATACGGAAAGAAAAACTAAACGTTACGTTTTCAGTGGTTTTCAGTTGGTGATAGCATTCTCGTGGCTGAGAGCGAAAACGACAACTGAGAGATTTATCACAGGCCGATTTTGGCCGTGTATCTAAAATATTTCTTCTGTCGGTAAGAACCAGGTCAATAACTGAAAATTTTGTATATTGGAAATTGTCTATGGTTTGTTTTGTAGTGTTCCAACATATTTTTTCATGTTGAGTCTTAGCGCCAACGCACTTTACGATTTTTATTCAGGATTGTCGATCCTTTTATTTTAATTCCTTAATAAAGTTGACTTTTCATTGTCAGTAAAGGGCTGTTGTGTTTATATGATAAACAAAATAATACATGGTTGCTTGTAGATATGGACTTATTCTTCTTGTGTTCAACTCGACATCTCACTTGTTCGCGGCGCTCACTCGTGCGTTATCGAGTTAAACACTCGAAGAGAAATTCCATATCTAAGCGTACCCAGTTATTATTCTCTATTTATTTATCGCCTGAGCGGAGGGGGGCACACACTTTTAATCAAGTGAGGAAGGGAGAGGGTATCAGTCGCTCTAACAGAGTATAAAGGGAGGACTTTGGAAAATCAACTGTCAATGAGGAGGATCATCAGAATACTACCAGGGTGGGGTCGGGTTAATTTTACTGAGACCAGTTGACAGATAATAACTGGCCCCTGATTACGGAATTATAGGACTTACCAAATCCAACTGGTCAATTTTGTAAAAAACTGTCAATACTATGAAGGATCTTTCAGCAATAGATAACGCAAAAACGGTTTCATTGCTTGTTTATCGAGGCGGAAGTACAAGTTTCCTTGGTATCATCGTTTGTCTCACTTTCACTCCTTTAGTCTTTAAAGACTGACGGTAAAACCATCGAGGAATTGAACAAAATTGCTCAGGTCCACGTCTGACTCAATATCAGGATGAGAAATACTTGATTGTATAGTAACAAAACCGATCTCAAGAGAGTTGTATGCCTTTAAGACATGATCTGGGTTGAAACAGATCCCACTCTGAAAATAACAAGCGATCAAGATTCTCACCAAAAAAGGCCCCCTTACACTGAGATATTCCGTCAAATTATAACTAATCACAGTCCGCTATCACTAGTGCGATATCCATTCATGTTCGCTATTACGTCTTACATTCAAACTGGCTACAGTTATATTAAGGAGCAAATATGGCGAAATTTTGCATTCTGCCTCTTCTTTTTCGCTAATAGAGCTAATTGGAGACACTTGTAATGTCTCAAAATGAAATTGCATTGGATAATCGAGAAATAGCACTTCACCAACAAATTAGGCAAGAGTTCTATCTCGAGGTATCGTGAATCCTCGAACACTCCTATTATCCAAAGAAAATACTGAAAGCTGATCGGTTAAATAGTTTTTCGTGTGCTCACGAATTTTCGTTTATATTACACTTGCCAAATACAACTAAAGCCAGAAAGGCAAATTCGTCTGTTTAAATTTGCCTTTCGCAGAGGGCGTCTTCTAAAAGAGGTTACGCTAATCAATTTTTTTTTTGTAAACAATCATGAGTTCTTCTGTGTTTTTTTCCTGCTCCCGAATCTTTGGTTTGATATTCTTTATCGCTGGAGGGTTTTGAGATTGACAGGAGGATGCAAGCTTCTTTATCTCCCGATCTCAGCCTCAACAATGGATTCTTGAATCATGAGATAAAAACAAAATAATAAAAAAACAGAGTCATTAGCTTCGTTAGAATTTATTTTCACTCTTGTCTTCTAAGGGAGATAATAATCATAGTGCAACCAAGAAAGTATAAAGAGATGACAACAAACAAAATGAAGAAGAAGATTTTACATGGATTACGACAAGGCTACATGAATACCTATGAAATTAAATGATATTACTTAGGGTTTGGTAAGTACACAAGGTCGCCTCCACGAGCTTAATATCCTGAATTTAAACTTCGATGTCTGAGATGAATAATCGATTGTTCATGTTCAAATCAATTTCCTTCCTAGTTCTAGTATAGTTTGCGTCGTTAGGTCATAAAAAAGTTATTTCCGTGCTTCTCTTCCTGAGGAAAAGACAACGCAAATTTTTCAGATTTTTTCTTACTCTCTTCGATTGATGGTTGTATTTTAATAACGACTATATCATACCTTCGATCCAATCCCTTTTGGTGGGTCGCTTTCTGAAAAATGTCTGGGTTTCTGCAAAACGAAAATAACACTGAATTTTAAAAGCTTATCATATTTAGTGACTGCCCTTCGTATTTCACGATGACTATCCTGTTGAGAGTAAATTGCTTTGATCAATGAAAACAAATTAATGGATTGCACTTGGTTATATGGCGAAGGATTCTTCGGAGGTACAACATTCAAAAGAAGCAATTGGGCAACTTAAACCGTATGCAAACGACGATGAAATATTGAGTGTATTATAATGGCCCTCATTTCCAGGCGTCCAACCTCGGCAGTCAGCTCAATAAAAGCCTTAAAAATCCTCAAACAAATGTTGCGATGTTCCTTACATGACAGAAGCGATTGCTCCACGCTTTCATCATTTGTTGAATCCTCTTCCTCCTCATATTTACATCTCCACGAGCTGATTTCTCTTTCTTTATTTGGAGCCTCTGGTCCTGAAGTTGTGCTGAAATATATCGCTTTAGGCTTTCCTTCTTTTCGTCAACAACAGTCTCTAAGAACCTCCTACTCACAAGTGTCTGCTAAAACAAATGAAGTAAAGAGGATGGAACACTTGATCAAAACCACAACATCATTTTAAGAGATCTACTCTAAATCACAGAGCGAATTTTTCCAAATGATCATTTCTAACTCGTTTTATGCAAAGGGTAGAAACAAGATTTTGTGGAGGTTCCGATATGCAAACGAGTCACTCACTTGCGCACCGTTCTAGTTAACTAGTCGTCCCGAACTTGCCCGAGCCCGATGGAAAAGTAACCGCGCATAAACGACAAAGAGGCTTGTTACAATTTATAGCATCATTGCTTTAAATGGCACCTTTTGATTGAAAATAAAATTTCGGGTTCAAGCACAAACCCAGCACTGTACATCGCTTCGATTGTTTACGATCCGATGTAAAACAAGAACCATGGGAACAGATTAGGTTTATTGGCTGATGTATTAAATTGAATTATCTTGTATGGGCATTGGCGGCGGGATCAGTCAGTAACAAAACTTAAGCTAGCGAAAATAATCATGTGATTTTCTGGCGAAAGAAAACTCGCGAAATTTACTGTCGTTTATCCATAATTTCAGGTTGTTATCGGATGCAAGCGAAAGAAGCATGCCAAGTGAACATCGCGTTATAATGCAAATATTGCTTGAGCGACTAGGGATGGAAAACAGTAGAATTTGGTTTGTGCAGGCGAAGAAAGATTTGGATCGCAGCGTCTGAATTTGACGAATTTTGTAAATAGAAATTTGAAAAGGTGATTTTATTTTGTACTGTTTTTATACACTGCCTGATGCATACCTTTGTTAACTATTCAGCGAAATTGGATACCATCATTCTGGATCTGTCCATGACCTCCTGTAAGCTTTCCAGCAAATTCATGAACTAAGACCGAAAAAACCTTAAGACCTTTGTAGAGTTCTGCCAGTCGACTCTTTCTTTACAACGCAAGTTTTAATGAAATAATTGATTTTGACGCATTTTCAGACAAAAAAGAATTTGAGTCACTAAGAATATATGGTTTTTCGTGTCATAAACATAACCATTAACCACAGCCCCTTGAAAGGACCTATGTTCGGCAAATGAGCAAAAGATTATACACTAATGACACTCATCCGACGTCTCCTAAGGAGAATGGAAGAGATTGAACTGCTCTTGGTTGTAATACGGGTGAGCAAGCTTCTGACTTGTATATATGTTCCTTGAAACTGGCAGAAAAGTCCATAAACCAAGAGAAGAAATGACACACTGGAGGAGGCTTCTGGTCCGGTCCTTGGATAAATGGGAAAAGTGGAGAAATTACCTCTTCCAATTTCAAAAAATTTTCACTGCTATTGAATGCCTTTACCATGAATTTATTTCCTTGCGCATCTTCGCACACCAAAATCTAGAAAAAGTGAGAAACAGTTTATTGTAAACAAACATGAACTAATTTTATGAAAATTTTCGCTCAACTACGGTAAGTTTGATATTTTACTTTTAAAAAGTAATTGATAATAAGTTGTATATATGTCTGAATAATAGTGGAAATCCGTGTGAGTAATAATTCTGATCCAATGCTGATCTAGATTTCATACTTTTCACAAGAAAACCTAAAGCGATTAGCTCTGGAGGAGTCGAGGGCAGACGTACCACTCATCAGCTTGGAGGGAGTGGATTATAACTTTCGGGTAACAAAATATGTATGTGGTTCTTGGAAAATTATATCTTTCAGTAGTTATGGTAGAAAACGTGTTGTTAGCTACTAACCTTATCAAGCCCCACACCCAGGTCATGAATAACTGTTAAACTGATAACGTGACCCTTGGGAATGTCTCTACACATCGGCAATTTTCCGTGATCCACTCCTGATAATAAATGTTGTAAAAGTAAATTATGAGAAGTCAGCAGATATTTCCAAGTAATAAACAGCCAAACTGATCATGAATGTTGATGGTACTCTAGGCAAACCAAAGGAGACCAGTAAACTAATGTCACCATTTAGAATGTTTGCCGTAGGAAAATGATTTTTTTCCTTGCAAGGATGTAATCTCTTACTTTAGCCACCAAACAGCCTAGTTGGAATTTTCAATGATAACACGTACACACAATGAGGATAATAGGGTAGCTGGATAATTTATTGAGCTACAAAACTTGTACTAATTGCCAATTAGGACAAAAGCAGATAGCATAGGTAGCCAATAGAATCTCAAAATGAAAAACAAGCTACTTCAAGCGCGGGAAAAGATGCATGAATGTTCAAGTCGCGATTGGTTTTACTCTTGGTTTTATTGGTCTAGAATTTGAGTTCGAGTTTCCTTAGCCAATCAAAGAGCAAAGGTGATCAAGAGGAATGCGATCCAGGATTGCTTACTACACTCAGTTGAAAATTGCTGTATCAAGAATTGCAAAATCCCTGTTAGAGTAAGCGCGTTCTTATTTATCGGTAGGTGTAGAGTTGAGATAATTGTAAGTAAAAGTAAGTAAACACAATTGAATTATAATAGATTTGCGTTAGTTATGGAGAGATATATCCTTGACACACTCAAGGAGGAAGGGTATTGGTATCCCAATCCCCTTTTTGATAAGTTAAGACTTGAAAACCACGGAAAAACCCATTGTTGTGTAACAAGGTAGCAATGTAGCTATTCATCATAATAATTTTTTTCTTCATTAAATAAATTTAGAAATTGGGTACCTCGTCAGTTGTATATGCATTACGGAAGCAGTCTTCACAAGCCACTCACTCATCTTACCAGGTATTCCTACTCACCAAGAAGCTTTTCTGCTATGCATTTTTTCTCAATGCTTGCTAAAGCATCCGCTAGACGCCCTGCCACTGCACTGCTCCCTTCCTTCTGTTTCCACATGAGGAGTAAGGCGTTTGCTTTGTCGCGACTACAATAATAATCGTTATCCAGGTTTTGGATCTTTGCTGCAGGGATATCAAGCTTTGGTCCCAGCTCACGCCAGCAAGTACCTACGTCATCACTTATGTCTGAAAGCTGCAGTTCAGTCACCACAGAGGTCCTTGGGTCGATGATGTCTCCTGTGTGCTCAAAAATATATTAGATTTTTAGTATAAATAAATGTTTCAATTGCATTTAGTTTTAACAATTAATTACATGAGGCATTGCGGTCCGTGGATGACGATCAACTCTTGCCGCGTGGTTGAATCATTTCCTTGTTTTGGGGCGTTCTGTGCGTCATAGTCAACCACTGCAGCCTGACACCGGAAACATTCGATTATGGTAATTTTAATATGACGTATACGAAAGTCATTCGGCAAAAATAGACTCTGATTTAATTGGTTTGTAGTTCGCCCTTATACTCAATTGTCTATCTTTCAAGTGATCGTTATGTCGCAATTTTTGGTTTGCATGAAGTTGGAGGATTCCTATTTAACATGTGTTCAGCTTCCTTAATTCGCATTAAGTCTGAATTAACAGACTCGATAACAATCTGAAGAGCAAGATTTTTGTGACCTTATTTACAGTCGATTATCTGCTCATCTCGATTCTGTTCTTAACAATGAATTCGAAGGAACAGCAAATTGATCAAAAGTCAAACTAGGGCTGCTTCTCTCCTGACCTTAAGAAAAATTCTGCTATTTAAAACTCAAAAACGATTAAGTAAATTTCCGTTCTTCTTCTGTCCCTTCATTTTTCCCACTAGTAAAACCACCACTGCGGAACATATTTGAATTTATGCTTTGTTGATATTTCTCTATATTATCAAGACCGTATCGAGGATTGCAAATATTTCGCATATCAACCACACGTTGACAACTAAACTAGCATCACGATTTGTTAAATCGGTTAAATGGAAATTAACAGCACAAATTTAACACTTAACGATGGCAGGCGTCCACAACGACACTTCCAAAATTTTAAACGTTAAATGGCTATTGTACGATTTAAGTTTTGCCAGTAAAGGAGAAAAAGCAATAATTGCTTTGCAGAACTAAAGGACTACACTTAAAAACGAAACGCAAGTGGTATTCAGACACACCGCGGAAGTACAACAAAAAGCAAATGGCGCATATATAACACATGCATATAATATTGTAATGCTTATTTCTAATTTCAGTACCATTCTCAGCTTCTCCTCCACTTGTCGCAAGCAATCCCGGCGTCTTTGTTTCCTCGGTAGCCATACACTTTCCTTCTGTGAACTGATCAAAGCTACTCTGTTGATATCTTCAACCACATCTACACTGTTGTCATGTGGAAAGAAAGATTACTCAAGTGTGCCTTCTTGTCCACTTCGATAACTGAAGCTACTCAGATCCTTGTGACATTGATCGCAGAATTGACAGCTTTCACTTTCAAGCCAGTAAATTGAGCAAAGTGTAGAAGTCTTCTAGGATTCTGATGATTACGCAACACGTCTCTAGAACCTGCGATAAGAAGGGACAAATCCTACTCTAAATATAGCGATTGCGTACGTACTACTGCAGGAGGTCGTTCCGGAAGACTACAGCTCCAGTGACACTGAGTATTTATTAGCCCAGAACATTCTGGATTATTCACAAACATTCTGGGTCCTACTTAGTATTAGCCAGTCAGCTTTGGATATTCTACGAGTGGTGGTCTATAAACTCTTTCCACAGAAGCCATATGGTTACTGTGGATATTGAGCAAAAATATTCATTCTATCAGAGTCGTACTAGATTTTTTTTTAAAGAAAAAAAAGAGTGCCTTTGTTTAGAAGTTCCGCTTTTTAACTTGAGATTAATTGCAAATAATGACATTTAAAAAAATTACCAGAAAACGCACTTTTTATTTAAATCGGACTTAGCACCTAACCGCCACATTCTGTTATAGTTAAGGGGACAGTTTGTTTTTTATTTGTCGCCTGAGCAGGGAGGGAAAGGAGGAGAATTTTCAGAGGGATCACTGACATACTTTTCATTAAGTGGGGAAGGGAGGGGGAATCAGTCGCGCTAAAAGAGTATAAAGGGGGACCAAAGGAAATTAACTGCCAACGAGGGGGTCATTACAATACTACTAGAGTGGGGTCAGGTAAATTTTACTGAGACAAAAAGACAACTCGTTAGTAAGGAATTATCAGACTTCAATTCCAATTAGTCAGTTTAGTGAAAAATTCTCATTATTCTGAAAGATATTTAAGTAATAGATAACTCAAAAACAGTTTCAGTACTTATTTATGGAGGCGGAAGTACAAGTTCCCTCGGCATCATCATTTCTCTCACTTTCACTCCTTTAGTCTTAAAAAGACTGACAGTAGCCAATCAAGGAATCAAACAAAATTGCTCTGGTCCAAGTGTGACAGAGAATCAGGATGTGAAGTACTATATTCTACAATAACAAAACAATTTAAAACAAGTATTTTGTTGATTTGCATCAAAAATTTTTTTAGATTCATGAAACGTCGATTTTTCCCAAATCCTTAAACTTGTCGAAATCGGCGTATTTAACTTTTATATCTGCGTAAAAATTCAGAGGGTAACTGTCTTTAGAAGTGTGCCTATTAACGGAGGTCAAGAAGTAAAAAGTTTTCGGAGCTAATTCGAGATAAATTGGTAAGATTATAGAATACACTCTTTCACCGGACGAGCCAGATAGCTCAAACTTGTAGGTTCGATCAAAACACACATTCGTTACTTCCAGCGCAAAAGAAAACGTTCGATGATTTCGTCTCAAGAATAAGAGACAGCCTGAGTGCAGATCTTTCACAATAGTCGTTGAGGCAAACATTTTGTTCGGGACCTCTTTCGCACGTTTTTGTCCACTGTTTATGGGTTCAGTGGTTTCCTGTTTGACGCATGTACAGAGTTTAATATCCACCGATTTATCTGCGCATGATTCAAACTTGCTGTACTTGGACACCCGCACAAAGCTAGTCAACCACAATTTGTCTTCCGCTTGAGCATACTGTTTGACAGAAACCTTGAAAACTTCGTCCTCGTTGTATCCGGGTGGGGGGATCACGTTAATGTTCATTGTGGTGGTGATGTACTCTCCTTGGGCCCGTTGCACAATATTTGTGAACGATTTTCCCACCAATCGTTGGCAATTTCCGTATCCCTCTTTTAGAATCGATAATAACTGCCCACCATCATCGCCTTTAGGAAGAATAAAAATTAACATTAAAAAGACATCGATAATGACGGCGTATTCTTTTTCGTCGAACCAGGGCGGTGATTAAAAAAAAAAAAGGACGTGAACCATTTGTTAGCAGCCTAGGAAAAGAAAATACGTTGGTCACCAAAGAGGATTTGAGTGTGAGACTTCCCGATAGGACAATCAGATGTCCTACGAGCTGCCGGTAGAGAACTCGTGGGTAAACTAAGAAATATGCTGAGTACAGTGTATATATGTGATGCGCGAAAGTGATGTTCTGATGATTTCTTAACTTCAGACTGACTTGTAACCTTAGGAGTGTAACTTAATAAACCCTTAGGCTGAACCTTATCGCTCAGGTAGCGATCTTCAATTGATGGCCTGGCCTACAATTGGTCATGACTTTAAATCGTGAGAAAACGATGGAAATTCATTTATCTTTACCAGCATCAAGGAAAAGTACTTCTTTAAAGCTGCGAACCCAGTCAAGTTATCCGACACCCTTCCTTCTTACCTCCCATATGTTGTTTTTGAATGGCATTGTTTAAGGTTCCAAGCGCGAACTCCGCTAACCACTTATGACTGTCTGAGTTATCTTTAACCGAATTATATCTGTCAAAGTCCTCGCACTTGCACAAGGTCAGCGGCATCAAGCTTAAGTTTGCGCATGTGCGATTTTCCGGTAGGACTGCAAATATACCAGCCAATGAAGTATTCCGGGAGAACCTCTTAACAGGGTCCTTTAAACTCATAAGCGTACGGTGTACATCGAGAAATGTAAAGAGGCGTCTTTGATTTTTAACTAAGGCAGTCATCCTTTCCTTGCCCAGTATTTTTTCAACGCCACCAGGAATAACCATGAAAAAAACAGGATCAAACACTTCTCTTCTTCCTTCCTCTGAGTGTAGACTGTAATAAGTGTTTTTATTACCGTGGTCAGAAAATATCATTGTAAGAGTGTCAGGTAACGCCGCCATGTTGGTGATGAACTCCGCTAAATTGGTGTCCGTGTTTCTTATCCGTTTGCCGGTATATTCATGTCCAGTGTTGAAATGCATGTACGAAATAAGCGGTTTCGCCGTAGAGTCCTTGTTGATAGCAGTGTACACCATTTGTAGGTAATCCATGAAATACTTACTGAAGAACTGTCCATTTAAGCACACTTTTGGAGGAGTTTCAAAATGGTTTGTTTCATTATACTTTTCCAGTACTGTTCCGGAGAAATGCATCAAGCCAAAGTTATCGATAAGTTTCTTTTTTATTATCTCTTGGAATTCTTTCCACCTGGAAAATTATTGGTATTTTTTGCTATCAAATTATGGTTTCTTTAAAAAAAAAAAAAAAGCTACCATTAATTGTCAAATCTTTGCCGACAGATTTATCATGGGCACTAAGAGATAATTATACAAAATCAAAAGTATAGTATTTCCACGACACTGAAGCGTTCAAATGATCGACTCTAAGGCCAGTTTCATTGAGATAGAAAGCTAACCAAGTCTCTTTAGAAACCCCCTTTTTTTTAAACTTTACCTTTCTATGAATTCTGAGTCCGTACTGGGTTTTCTTCTTATTTCAAGATCTGTCAAGACCACTCCCCAACGGTCAAACCAGCAAAGGTCCTCTTGGAAGAGGGTCTGATAGCCCCATCTCTTGAAAGTCCCGTACAGTACCTCCACGCCTAAAGGTGCCTTAACGGTTTTTGCGGTGTTAGTTACAACGTTATCATCTAGGATACAAACACCCTCAATTAGTTGGGTTTGCGAACACATGTTATAACGAGATCTCGTAAAGGTTTGCCAATTTGAACGTAAGGCGCAGATTTTAAAAAAGTTGTATAGAACGTGCTTCATATTCATACCTTGTATGACTCCAGAAAAAAACGGCCTCAAGTTGTCAAATGTTTGCTGACCTACACTCTGGAAGAGCTCAAAGTCCAGGGCGGTGGCCTTGAAGCTAGGATCACGTGAAATCTTCCGGAGAACGTCCACAGTTCTCGGAAGACTTCTGTAAAAATGTGGTCTGGATATAGAATCCAGAAGGATCACGTTAACATTGATGTTATGTCTTTCTCTGCCATCTTTAAGTTTCTGTAACATCGGAGGAAAGATGAGCACTTGGAGAAGATTTACACACCTCAAGAACAGGAAGCCAAACCCGTTTCTCCTGTTTGTTTCCACAGCATTTTGTACGGTTTTAGTCATTCTTTTATTCGATATTGGCGTCCATTTAGAAATTTTGCCCATATATGGATTGATAGAGCCGATTTCAATACGTGATGACCCGCAGACACTAGCGTCACATAACAATGTTTGTTCTCCTGACTTTGTAACTTGGAACGAGCAGATATCTGGGTAATTGACCTCGTCGCAGCTTCTTTCCTCCACTTGTCCTGGATGCCCGTAGTACTGATAAGCTTGCTCGCAGCCTACTTTGTCTGACCTATAGAAGGCGTATAAACCAGATTATTACAATTTAACGATTATTCCGCTTTATAGGCAAAATTTTTATTTCTTTAGATTTTTTAAGATTTACGAGTATGTTATTTTTACTTGGTCATCTCTTACCAATGAATAAAGGGTTAAGTTTTTTAAAGAAACTGTTGTGCTGCGTCGCCGGGTAATACAAGATAATCGATATGACGAAGGGCTAACACTCGAAACGTCAGCTTTTAAACTTTATGCGGTAGCCAATTTTTTCTTTGTCCCACGCTCGTGACAAGACGAAAAAAAAACATCTTTTACTTTACCCCAAGATAGTTTTGTTTTAACAACTGAGTTGATAATGTAAATTGGCCACCGTAGAGAGCATCTAAATAAAGCTGTCATTTCTAGCATCAGCCATTCGATTCAGATTCGTTTAATGGAGGCCAATTTACATTAAAAACCCAGTTGGTAAAACCTGATTATATTTCTACCAAAAGTGTATAAAATAAAGCCACATTAATCCAGTTTCTTCGCGTTAGGGAATATGTAAGTAATAAAAAACCTTTTCTCCAAACTTTTAACTTTTAAAAGAGGCTAAAATTTATTTGAGATTTTAACACATAAAACAAAAAGACTTCTTATATGCTGGGGGGGGGGGAAGAAGAGGAGACTGCCACGGTCAAGCAAGGAGTAAAAAAGGAGGAAAATGAACGGCGTAATGGTGAAATTATTTTACCTTCACTTCTCAATCTGCTAACTTCAAGATCCTTACCTATGTGGCCTGCATGTAATTTCAGGTGGCGATGACGCCTCATTTTCATCTGAGTAATTTTTTAAACCCAGATGGGGACAAAGACTGCCATCTGGAAAAAACAAATATCACGTATGTATTGCTTTGTAAGAGACGCACTGTATTTAGAGAAGATGCAAATTTTCACCGTGACCCTTCAATTTTCACAAAGAAAGTACAGAGGTGAGTCTTATTTTTTTTGTACCAGAAATTTCATCGCAAATAAAGGTTGGCAACTTACCATCAGCTCTGTTCCATTGATCATGTGACTTTTCCCGCGCATTCCATCGGTCACGTGTCTTTGTTTGGCTTGCTGAATGGTTCATTGCTTTTGCTGTCGTCTCAGCGATTGCTTCTGTTAATTTGTCTGTGTTTTGTAAGGATTAAGCAGGTCATTTGCTGTTTGGATTTTTTTAAACAAATGGAAACTTTTTTTTTAACTCACCCCAACGTTTTTGAAAACTAGGACCGAAATGCATCTTTACCGCTACGATAGCAAACAAAGCTGCTACTAAGACAATTGTTAGTATCTGTGGAGAAAAAAAGTTGAACTCAAAAATTGATAAAGTTTACGGTCAATCAGTTTTCGGAAAAACTGTTCACTTATTATTATAAAGGCTCCAATTTTCCATCAAAGAAAGTAATTTCTCAATTATTTGAACAAAAAATTTCAACAAATGTTTTGAAAATCAAATTACAGAAATGTTTGCGTTAAAACTGTAGCACACATTGCATGAATATTTTAAACTAAAAAATTGAAAAAATTCTTTTTTACATTTTCAAATTTGCCATTTGACGGTTTACGGTCAATTTTTCGGAAAGACACTTCACTTATTTTTATTCAGGTTCCAATTTTCCATCAAAGAAAGCAATTTCGCAAATATTTGAATAAGAAAATTTTCAATGAATGTTTTAAACATCAAATTAAAATGTTTGCGTTAAAACTATAACACACCTTGCATGAATATTTCAGGTGTCCTCATTTGCCTGTTTCCTTGACTCACATTGCCGCTGCCACGGCCAATATTCATTATAAGAACCAGTTTTTTATTCTCACTTTACTCTCAGTTTCTTTTAACAAATTCAATTTTGTGAGGCTGTTCACTGAATTCAGACTCACACCGAAATTACAAAAATATTTTTTTGTGAGCTGTTTGACTAAGAGTGACAGCCAAGTGACCCGTTCGTTCGAATGGTCTGTACTATAGCAGATTTAGCGTGTGTTCTTGCATTTCAAATACACGAGTAATATTTCGCGACACCGGAAGGGTCCCCAAGGAAATAACGTTTTGTCAGTTGACCAAGTGTCCCGTTCGTTCGAATAGTGTGTACTCTAGCAGATTTAGCGTGTCCTCTTGTATTCTCAAATACACGAGTAATATTCTTCGTCACCGGAAGTGTTCCCGAGGAAATAACGTTTTGTAAGTTAGCCGTAGATGTTTACACAAAGGAACTGTACATAATTGAACTGGAAATATTGAAGGCGATGGCTTACAGAGAGCTTATTTTGAATTGAGAACTATCTTAGGGATGCGACGGTAAAAATCTCTATTCTTGACGGTTGACGGTTAAAATTTGGGCAATGTGACAGTTGGCGATTAACCTCATTTAGACCATCCTCTGAATAAAAAATTAAAAAACTGAAGTGTTTACGACACGTGACCGAAAGAGGTTTGTAGGTTGACTTAGTTTTCAAAAGCGCTCCCTTATGTCGGGTTCCAATTCCATCGTACCGATTGACTAACAAATCCAACACCGAGTATTATATCACTCCTCCACCATCCCAGGTTTTTGTGAACTCGATAAACATAAGCTGCGAGTCTTACAGCGTCTGGAATGTTCGAGGCCGGAGACATCAAGAAAATTGAGAGCACTTATTTTAGTTCAATACATCATCGGTTTTTACGATTTTTGAAGGACATCCGAAGCATATGAAAACTTCAAGTTTAGGGCGTCAATGATTCTTCAAACAGATAATTTTTAGCTCATCAACAATAGTTAAATGCTCGGCTACAGTATAACCAAATTCAATATCGGAAGAATCGTGGACATTGACGTTGAAAATTTCTAGATACATCCCCATAACATGTATGGATGACTAAAAAATAGTAACATTTTTTATCCAGAATCTTCTGAATTTTCCCATAGATAAAAACCAGCCTTGGCTCTGCCAATAAAATAAGACCCTACTTACATTTCGGCGCCTAGAATGTTTTAACATTTCGTTCGGTAGAGCTTTGGAATCTTATTCGCTGCTATTCTTATTGATGTTGTAGGCACAAGTAAGTGTTTTTACATTTAACTGAGTCGTGATGATTCATAGGAGCCCGTATTAAAATGTATGTCTGAAGGTGGAGTTTAAAATGAATGAGGGCCAGGAGCCCATTTAAGTTTCTTAGCAACCTATCATCGGCTTTAGATTCCCTCATTAAATATTCTCTGTTCAAATTTTTACACAAATTAAAA